GATCAGCACGCGTTTAAATGGATATTTTTTTGACGTCGTCAGAGTAAATACCAGAGAGTTTAACTTTGTGGTCTCATAGAGAAATTCACAATTTTCCAAACAAGACATGTGTATTCATCTCTCTCCCTGGGATATTTTTCTGTGGTCCCCAAAAGAATTCATTACACTTTAATGTGAGTTTTTCCTTCGCCCAAAATTACCTACCTTTGGTTATAGCGATAAATGTTGAATTTTTCTCCACGTGCGTGTTTTATTTTCTCTCTTCTTGGGCAGGTTTTTCTGGCCGAGGTGAGATAGAACGAAAAGACAAGTATAAAGTTTCTGGCTATACCTCGAAATGCCCCTTCAAAGTGGCACCCAAGGAATATCTGGTTGCTTCCAAGTGAAGATGGGATGTTGTGACCCAGATTTCTTGGATAAGACAAGATGAAGGACGCGATGGAAGGCTGTGAGCGCGCGTGTTCCCTATGATTGAATCCTTGGGAGCTACTTAGTCACAGAGGAGGCGGAGTAGTTGGAAATCACGTGCTGGGCGTTGTCCTATCAAATAGTGGGTGTTTGTGGACACCAAGAAGTGATAGAACACATCAGCTTATTTGATTACTCTCGCAAGGAAATTATTCTTTACTTACACGCCGTGTGTAATTACTGGGAGTTTGGTAACTCCTTTGGAGCACAAATAATCCTAATACCATCTATATATTTGTGGATGGGAGCCTTTTCATATCGTCCTGAGCCTATTCACTGGCATAAAACGTGCTAAATGAACTGCCAAGAGGCTTCAGCTCCTCATATTTGACTTTTATGCTGAATTTTTATGACACTGTCAAAGTGATATGAAATTGCGGAATTGCAAAAGACTTTAAGTATATGTGATGTTGATATTTTAATTTACACACAAGGAGAGAAGACTTGATGCAGAAGGTGGAGAAGGAAATATTGCAGAAAAATTGTTTGTGTACATGTTTATTAAATGCCACAAATGCGGCATTAGTGATCTTCCCACCAATGGCACAAATTTCACACTTCCACTAGCTTAATTTGAACCAACGTCGGAATATAAAACTTGACTCAACGTGTGTGCCAAAACGCACAATTACCGGCTGTAAATCAATCAGCAGCGGATTGTTGTTTAATTCATAAATTCTGCCCATGATGTCTTAATTATATTCCATTGGCGCAGTGGCTGAATTAAATGTTTTACTGGCTCCTCGCATGGATATTTCAGGCCTGGGGGGGTTGACTAATTAATAATGGTCGGTTGTTGTCCCCAATTTCCTCTTGGCGCTTATTCCTGTTGGTTCACCTAGAAAAATTTCCACATTCACCACGCGAAATATTCGCAAAACAAGTCCAAATTCCTCCTGTCTACGCATTTTTATTTATATATTTGTCTATTACTAAGTGTTTTTATCAAATGGCAACAGGCGACATTAGATGGTGCTTTTCGCACATTAACACTCTCTTGCATGACGCTGTGAATGTGATCGTGTTGAGGATTTTTATTTATTTATACACTCTTGGGCCTCCTCGTATCCACCATCGCAATATAGTGTGGCATTATCTACGACATGAATGTGGAATTTGGCCAATTTGTGACTATCGTGTCGATTTGACATGCTTTTCTAAATTTAATCGTGCACAATTAATTTGTGAGAAAGTAGTTTTCCTCATTAATTTACACAAAGAACAAACGTGTCACACCATCTTCTCCTGTCTTTCTCTCTCTCTCTTCTCCGTGCGTCTGTCAATCACATGCGAAGGGGTGGATGAAAAATATAGAGACTTGAGTGATGTGGTGATGAAGGAAAACCCATGAGGAAAACACCCAAGTGTCCCAAGACATGGAAAGGGGTGTCAAGCATGAAGAGATTCCGGAAAAAAAGTCAGTTGTAGTGTTGTCTGTGTGCGTGAATGAGGAATTGGAAGAAGGAAATTGAGGGAGAGAGGCAATCAAGATTTACGGAAAGCCCCAGAGAGTATTTTTCCTACCTTTTCCCACATCAATTGGTACAGCAAATGCCTCTCCCTTCGCCCTCCCTCCCATTCCAGAGGCATCTGGTGTGAGATAAAGGCCTGCCAAGAGTCTAACTTGTTATCCGAATTGAGGGATGTTTTTTTTTCAATTTTTAATACACCTTCTCAAGAAATGCTCCTCCAAGGACGCTTTTTATTTCGAAAGAAGCGTTGTTGGCATATCATTGCAGAAATATGCGAAACATTCAGTGTTTCATCTGGAAAATTCCATGAAAGTTTTATCTGAATATTAAAGTACGAGTTTACACTCTGAGATTACACAGACTTTAATGCAAACTCATCAATCAGCTTGTTGTATTCTGCGCGTTGGTCGAAAATCACTTAAGAAAGATCAACAATATAAATTCTGTTTTAACTTAAAAGTTTCCTGAGCGCGAGAGAGAATCTTTATTGAAAATTATATGAAAACATGACAAGAAATGAAAAAGATATGAAATTGAATTCTGTCTCTCAACACATTCATTGAGTATGTTTTCATCGGAAAATCACAAAAATGATCGGGAGAAAGATGGGAAATGATAACTTTCGGCGAGACGCACTCTTTTACAGGGTGAAAATAGTGGGGAAATGAGACATGAAGGCGCCGGATTGATGGACAAAAGTCCTCTTATCAGACTGTCTCACCCACTGACAATCACAAGTTAAGTAAACTCAAAATCACTCACACGACACTCCATTTTCATGGGGGGTGTTATGGGTCTGTGATGGGCAAAAAGTGTGTGTATATAGTGAGTAATAAAGACACACCATATTTCTGGCCGAAATTGCTTTTCTTACTCGCCATTCTCTAGTAGATCCCAACAGGATGACGGAAGATTCACGTGGCGTCCTTGCGTAGAGTGAGAGACTGAGAGGGATGGGAGTGAGATGGATGCCAAGAAAAACCTTGCGTACAAGAAGAATCGTTAGATTGTCATTTAATGTAATGGATTTCTGTATTGAGGAGGATTCTTGTTGGGCGTGAGGGAAGAGGAAATGCGTGATGGCCAGAGGCATGAGAGCATTCTTGCCAAGAAATTACACATAAATATTAGATTGTTTCATCTTGTAGCTTGAATATTCACTTGGCGTTGGCGGGAAAAGCGTATCAGCTGAAAATTCCTGCAAGTTTTGCGCTCTCAGGAGATTTAATGTTGGTTGCTTTTTCAACGTGGTGGGATTTTTGTCACTTTGATTTATACTTCTACTGGTTCTACTGTAAAAAAAAGAACGAAGGGAAGAGAACAAGGGCAGAAATGATCCATGAGCACTTTTGATATGGGTTTCTCGTTTTGTCGTTTTATTTCGATTTCTTTCACTTCACAGATATGTTGTCTGAGTGTAAAATTACCACTTCATTGAAATATTATAAAATTAGACGTGAATTTTAGTTTAAGTAGGAAAGAATGAAGGGAATTTGAGCTGAAGAATTGTTGTGCGATTGCGACTTGAAAGTTATAAATGCACTGTATCGGTGATATTTTAAGCAAAGTCTGGCGTACTGTGTGTGTGTCGAGCCATTGCTCTCGGTGTGAGCAAGAAAGAAAAATCCTTAATCTTGTGAAATATATCTAAGGAGAGAGATTTTCCACCCGCGTGACTTCGCTTTCACCACAATCAGACAGTGGTACTGACAAGGCGGTGGGAAATGGATAAACAGTGTGCAGAATGGATAAAATATTGTGGGGTTTCTACCCATTGCAAACAAAGGGAGTGAGGGTGAATTGTTGACAGACAAGAGAGGGAGAGTGGGAAGCCAATCTTGAGGATCGGAGTGAATCCCTTGGCCAATAAGCTGAGTGATGTGTGTAAGATAGGAAAAATTCAATTAAATTCAACACACAATCGAACTCGATCTTCTCATCATCAGGCCACGCACTTGTGGCAAGAGGGTGTGAAATTAATTAAATAAATATGAGTTTCCGGTGTGGAAACTGCCTTGGCACTCTTACGATTGTCCCAATGGTAGAATTTCCGGCTTTGGCAGCGCAGAAAATGTGTGTGGATGCGAAAGAACGCAGAATGAGTGTAAAAATATAATTAATGATCATCGCCTGTTGGCGTCACTTGTTGGACTGTAGCGTCTGACGATGACGTCGCCGCATAGACTCTGTCCCACGGAATTTTTTCCTACGAACTAGAAAAACAGTCACATCAATATCAGCGCCCAAGTTCAAGCGCGTGGAAAGTGGTAATGGTCATAAGAGGAACTGCGGGGATGGAGGACTGAGAATTATGGGATAAATTTCTCACGATGAAATGGAGAGGAAATGGCAAGAGAACTCCCAATGCATAATTTTGCAGGAAAAACTATTTTACAAACTACATAATCGAGGTGGATTTTCTATTGAAATGCTAGAAAAATCCAGGAAAATTCTCCCTTGATCAGCTTTAAAGGAATTTATGTTAATAAAATATAAATTCTATATGCTAACGATGCTAACTTTCACACCACAGAAGTCCTTCTGTATCCGTAAATCAGCGATTTCAATCGTTGGGGAGCTTAGAATGAGGTATTATGCAAATCATATCGGCGTAAAAATGTCTGCAAATTCACGCATCATTTCAGCAAGTGCCTATAATCTCATTCAACACATGACTTGAACAAGCTCTTAGCAATCTTTCACTGAGTTTTCTCGCTCTCTCTCTCTTCCTCATCCTGTATCTTTCCCATCTTTCCCTGAGAAATTATAAAGTTGCCATGCAATTCGCGTGGGTGAAATGATGTAAAATTGATGATGACGACGTAACCACATGAAGAAGTTTGTGTGAATGGAAAATTTCACTTGAATGGATTTTTTTTTTTTTTTTCGTGGTGATAATGAACAAAGAATTTGGTTGGGTGCGTTGTGGAATTCCAGACCAATTCTCACCTCATGTGTTTATTTATTCGTGTATAGAGAATTTATATTAAATCTGGTGGTAACTGAAAAGAATGTTCTCTCTTTAATGAGCTTGTGTGTTTGTTTTTTCCCTCTTTGCAGAACCGAGGAAAGAGAAGACTGACGCTAATGCCGGTGGTAACAGTGCTCTCTCTCCGAGCATAGATCAGCCGGGCTCTGGACTGCCGCCGGGAAGTTGCGGAAATGGTGACAATAACAAGCCAGAACGTCCCAATTCTCTGGGTCCCACGAAGTTGTCCAGACGCATCATCTTCTGCCACGGGGATCACTGTAAGTGTGCTGCTGTGCAGCTCTGGTGAGTGTCTATCTATTGACATCATGTGGTGGTTCCTCTTGAAGATGGAGAGCAGCCACAGGGTGGAATCCGTGGGCCGACTCCCCCGCCATCCGGCCAACAGCAGACGCCGTCAGGCGATGGACACCAGCAGCAACTGTCGGCCCATATCTTGCTGTCTGAGCTACCGGAACCACCGATTCCAGTGTCAGAGATTGGACCAATCCCACCACCGCCCATGTTCTCCACGCCGAGTCCCACGCTGATAGCCGGCCGGCCGCACGGGCCCGGCGCTCAGATGCATGGCGGTGCCAACAGCGGCATTGGCAGTATTCACAACGCACAACTCGAGCTGGCAGACTACGACTACGACGGTGTGTAATTGCTTCTCACGAGCACTCTTAGTCATCCTCTTGCATTCCCAACGCCCGGGGGTGTTTATCCTTCTTTTCTCTGTGCGCGATGTGACTCGAATGGGGGTGGAAACATCTCTTGAAGATCTTGTCGGCGCGCAATCGATCATTTTTGTGCACACAAAAATATGAGCAATAATCCTTTAACCCCCATTTTCACATCTCAGATAAACACCCCCTGAACTCTTTCCACTTCATCATACACTCGCATTGAGGCGTTTTCATTTCCGCATTTCACATGGCGCTATATAGAAAACGTCTCGTGATTTATTTCCTCACGATCGTCCCATTCTTTTTTGGCTCTCAACACACAATATCACGAGAATCAAGCGTTAACTCGCGTCTCATGACAAAAATTGATTGCCAGTCTCTCTTAAAGTGAATTTTCCTTCTCTAGTACTTTGTGATGAACATTTGCAATGCTCTGGTGTGTGTGTTAAAATCTATTATCACGAGTTATTTTAATGGGAGAGAAAAGTTCAATTGGAAAACTTAGTGGCATTTCATTGACTCTCCCATAATAGAATATTCCACTTGAAGAGATTAACATGATGCACCAAAAACTCTAATTTACATTAATGCAAACTCAAGAGGAGACGAAATTTTCAATTAAACTCTAGAGAAGTTTAGTTCTTAAGCATTTATTTTTGATATTGAATCGTTCTCTCAATGCATTTCTCTCTTTTCTTTCTTTCTCCCACTCTTTTTCCCCCATTTAGTAAGCTATTTTAGCATGGAACTGAAGCTAGCAATCTGCAAACGCCAAAATCTGAAATGCGTAACATGTATGTTGAGTGATTAAGAATTTGAAGAGAAATCTTTTCTTTAAAATTTTAAAAATGATCAAAAATTGCACCGAATCACGCTTAATACCCAAATGCTCTTTTGCTCTCATTTTATTCACCTATATAAAATTATAATCTCACTTCACAATTTGTGTTCCTCAATAATTCGCAAATTCATCACTGATGAGTGAGTCTTTCAGAAATATAAATCCTGTTTTGCAATTTTGAAGATGTAAACACGTCGGTTTGAAGCATTTGGCGCAAAATTACCTCGTCAAAACATGAATAGAGAACAATGCAAGAAATATCTTGAGCTAAATTAGATTAATTTGGAGAGGGTAATATTTTGATGCACACAGTAAAATATTCAGTAATTTGTTTCCACCACTCATCGCAATTTATATTTAATTTGTGCTGGTTTTGCACATTGTGAAATGTTTTTTTTTTTTTGTGTGCACAAATGCAAATGAAAACGAGAGCAAAATCCTCCTAATTTGCTTTTAAAATGAGAACACAGGCGGGAAAAAAAAGAATCATCGTGCAAAATATGGAGTAAATGATGAAATGAGCATAAAAGCTTCTTTCCTTTTAAACCAATTTGCAAAATCATGTTTCACGGTTGAACAAAATTGCCAAGAGCAAATTCACTTAAATTGAGAAAATTTCTTTGTGTAGAATTTTAAACAAAACAATCAAAATTTCTATTATTATTGCTGCATAAACTATACTTTAATTGCAACGCCATCACAAAGTAAGAAAGTTGACTGTAATTGTTTGGATTTTAGTTGAACACAAAACCACACATTCTTGTCACAAAATTTAACCACATGATGATAAAATGAGTAGCTCAAAAGGAGGCATTTTCTGAGAAACACCTTCTCAAAAGGGCGGAAATTGTCAGCAAAAGGGTTGAATGTTGAATCTCATGGTTTTGCTTGAAATTTACTCAGTACAGATTTTCATGTGTATTTCTTCCTCTGTACAACAGATCAAGATGAGTTGGATGGTGAGGATTTGGACTCTGATGAAGAGTACATGTTCCACATGAACCAACCGAATCCCAACATCGACACGGGGCGTGTGGAGGAGATTCCCGCCAAGGAGCCCCTCTTCAATGCCGTGCCCCTGAAGTCTGCACTGAAGAAGAAGATCAGCAACTCGGGCCCTGGGAGTGTGGGAACGTCAGCAGGCTCGAGTCCAGGCACTCCGACGCAGGACAACAACAGCAACAATCGTCCATTGGTTGTTCGTCAGGAGAACAATTCGTCTCTCAAGTGAGTTGATTATATGCCCAAAAGTTCTTCTTCAACTTTGCCTGAACTCTCTTGGATGGTGTCCAAATTGGTGGTGGTGGATTTTGAGTGGATTGGATTTGGGAATAGCATTGAGACACTAAATATGAAATTTAAATTTTCATATCTCCCATATTCTTGCATACAAAATCTCTTCTTGTTGAACTACAGAAGATTCTGTGTAGTCACAAGAAGTTAGGCAAATGTGAAAGCTGATAATTTCTGAGAATTTCAGTGTCCATGGAGAAAAATCTCTGAGGGGATAAAATGCGAGTATTTTTCTCCCCCTAAAAGTCACGTTAAGGGTTGTTTCCATGGGGGAGAAAAAAGGCGGAGAGACGCATTAGACTAATGTGAATCCAATAAGTGTCTTGTTAGTCGATATCTCATGACCTTTGTCACTTTGTCTGTATCTCTCCTTATCGTCCAATTTGACATTGGCGAAGAGGTGAAATACCAAGGGAAATTCTGTGCGAAGGAGAGAGAATCTCGGGGAGGCGATGAATATCGCCATTGCCGTCATGCATCAATATTGAATGGTGAATAGGGAAATTTGGAATTCTCTCAGAGTTGAGAAATTGGCGTTCTATTGAAAATTGGGTGCGCTGCAAAATCAAGCGTGAAGGAAAACTGGGTCCTCTTCAATTCAATGTTAGAGGATTTTGATTAACAGAAAGAGAGAGAGAGAGATGATGCGAATGTGTGAAGGTTATTTGTGGAGAAATTTCTGTCTAATGTTGTTTGTATTTATTGAAAATTTTATAGGCCCATCCTGCGGCCAAGGATTAGAATATGGTAATTAATTTGTAACTCAATAACTCAATTTATTGTTTAATTTTATCATTCATCATTTGCTGTTTCTTATTACACCGAAAGGAATTTCTGTTTCGTTCTCTTGCCTCTCATGCATATTTGAATATATATTTTTTTTATCTTCACAACTCGCCCCTTAATTATTGTGTCTGCAGCATTTCTAATGAGTTCGATTATCCCTTTTCTGTTGTCTTTTTGTCACATCAAACTTCTTTGTCTTGCTCTCTTCTTTTCTTCCTATAATCTCCTCTCCAAAAGGACACTCAAGAGCTTTCCACTGTTTTTATCATCCCCATTTGTCAGCGAATGAGGAGAAAATAAAGAATGTGAAAAATAGAAATTGAGAGCAACATTTTAAGGCATGCTTAAGGTGTAATTTCTTTTTATCCTAATTCTATTTCCTCGCTTTTTTTCAATTGGCAACATAATGAGAATTGACAATAATTTATTATTCATATGTGAATTTGTGATGTTGATGTTGTGAAATTGAGTTTGTCTTCTCTCAACAGTGCGCGACCGATGCGTTTTGGGATTGGGCTGCCGTGCACGATGGAGAACAAGGAGAATGCCCGCCCGTATGTCGTGCGTGAGGACACGGACAGTGACCAAAGCGATGGTCCAATCTTGTATCGCGATGACGACACGGCGAGCGATCGTGCGGCCAAGATAGCGCGCAAGGAGAGCCTTTCGCTGAAGCTGGCCCTTCGTCCGGATCGACAGGATCTCATCAACCGCAACATTCTGCACGCGCAGTCGGACAATGAGCGTCTGGAGTCCAAGGAGGCAATTGGTGCTAAGCTCATCCGGCGTCTATCCATGAGACCAACAGCTGAGGAGCTGGTGGAGCGAAACATTCTCAAAAGTAAGAAAATCCATCGTGTGAGAAGAGATCAAAGGAAGAGTGCACACAAGCGATATCCACTTGACATTTGAGAATTTTTCAATTTATTTCAAATTAACCCCTGTTATTTATTCATTTGTGAACATCTAAATTGACAATTTTCCCAATTTACTGTCTCTTTTCATCCCCCCCCTTTTTTTCTTGCTGTTAAGAAGATGTTGAGAGAAATTGTGGAAGAGGGAATAATTTAATTTGTTAGAAAAAAAAGTTCAGGTGGAAACTGTGAAGGAGATATTAATGTTATTGGTGGGGACATAAATGAGTTTGGGAATTTTCTAAGCAGTAAACAAGAGAAAAAAAATCCCGTCATGGAGATTTTGAGTATTAGAATTCAAATCAGAAAATACCTATCATTCTTCACGATGATGGGGAAGAGATTAGAGAGATTTGTGTGAATGGCGTGATTTCGGGAAGTGCTGTATTAGGAAAATGTTCTGAAGGGTTTTTTTTTTCTTTCTTTCTTAATCTTCTAAGAGGGTGGTTTTTTTTCCCTCTTATCAAGACCCATCGCTATCAAAGCGATTTGTCGGCCCCTTGGCTTTTTCATTGTGGAAAAGTGAACAGTTGGAATTGACATGAGAGACAGAAAATCAGAGAGTAGAATTATTTAAATTATTTCCTAATGTATTCTATGAATATTTGAAGAGCTCGTAGCAGCTGAGATTCCAAGATACCTTGGAAAAGTCTCAGAAATATGCTCAAGTGGATATATAATTCGGCATTCACACCTCGAGACCCTTTTTTGGCACTCACACCTCTTCACGCGATGTGAGTGCGAGTGTGTGTGGTTGTCTTACTAGCTGTCTTTCTCGCCAAACAGCCCAAACACCCGCCGAGGAGAAGAAGCAGAAGGAGGAGAAGAAGAGATATTTGCTGAGAAAGTTGAGCTTCAGGCCAACTGTTGAGGAGCTGAAGGAGAAGAAAATCATCCGTTTCAATGACTACATTGAAGTGACTCAGGCACATGATTACGATCGGAGGGCGGATAAGCCGTGGACTCGCTTGACGCCCAAGGATAAGGCCGCCATCCGGAAGGAGTTGAATGAATTCAAGAGCTCAGAAATGGCTGTGCACGAAGGCAGTCGTCATCTCACGAGGTATGTTTGTTTTGTGTGATGTCACCTGATAAATGTGACTCTAATCGCTTATCTGACGGCCTCAATGCAGATTCCATAGACCATGACGATTGCAATGCTTCATCGCGATGGACATGGGCGCAGAGATGATGCTACTGATTTTGCTGTCACACTTGATCCTTCCGGAAATTGACTCTTTTCTGTACACTAAAGTGCCGACAGTGAAAAACTGCTGCTACGAAGCGAGTTGCTGTGATAGACCTGTTGACGTTAATAATTTTTAGCGAGCGCCATTCATTTTAATTAGGCAAGAGATGTAAAGCTGAGGAGGAAACACGAGATTCATTTAACACTTTGCAGGAGGAAGAAGAAGAAGAAAAAGAAATTCATTGAACACTTCTTTTTTCTATCTCAACGGTGGAGAACGAAGGACAGACAGAGAATTGTCTCTGCCTGGGAGGAATGATAGGAGATTATTATGTCTCCATAAATTCCACTTCAATTGAAATGAAAAGACAATGATGGCACTTTTTCCTCTCTCTCTCTCCTCGAGGACACAATGTGTCTTCTTCATGGCCACGCGGTGGAAGAAAGAAAAAAAAGAGAAAGAGAGAAAAGTCGCAAGAAATTCCTATGAATGTTCTTGTAATTAATTGGTAAAATATGAGAAGATGCGAAGAACATCAATCTCCATCGACTGAGACAAGAGAGACACAAGTCAGAGAGAGAGAGAGAGAGAAGGAAATTGTTGTCTGGCTCTGCCGACGAGGAGAGAAAGTCAGTCGTTCTTGGTACAGTAAATAGAAATGAAGAAAAACATGTAGAGAATTATATTTAGTTGTATTGTACATATCGAAGAAGTTTTGCGTATATTTTTTAAGTAATTTTCTATACTTTTAGTTGGAGTAAAAGAAAATATGGTTTTGTTTTTTTGTCACCAATTCACACACCATCAACAGCAGGTTGTTGATGAGAATCAGCAGAAGAAATAGAAGAAAAAAAATATGAGATGGAAGATCTGCAATTTTCGCGAAGTGTTGGATCGACAGGGGCGTGCAAGGGAAGATTTGTGACATAATTTTCATAATGTCCCTGGCACATTGAAGTGAAATCTTAGATGAAAAACCCTTTAAACGTAAAAAAATACAAGTAAGAAATATATTTAGCAATGAACAGAAATATATAAAAATAATCAAAAAGAAAGAGAGTGAGAAGAAAGGTGAAAGAAAAGTGGGTTTTGGAGAGTGTTGGAAGAAAAGCCCCAGAGGCTCTCTCTAAGGGATTATTAATGCGATTTGTCTGCGATGAGGAGGACTTTTTGGCGCACACCGAAAATGTATTGAGAAAAAAAGAAGAGAGAGAAAGAGAGAAGAAACGAATTTTTCCTCTTTATACTTTCACATTCTTCTGAAAGTGTTGAAACTTTGTTCATTTCTTACTTTATTCCCTCCGTTACAAAATGCAATAGAAGAGTGTTTTTTGTGTGAAAAGAAAAGCTGACGAGATGATGAATAATAGCGTTTGATGATGACCAAAATGTTAAAAAAGCAATAAGAAGAAAAAATTCTGAAATTTTTGCTAAGAAAGTCACAAAGAGAGATTGTAATATTAAGTTTCCTACTTGATTTCATCAACAGAGAAATTCACAACAAACATTTTTGTACATCTCTAATGTCTTTTTCTACTTGAGTATGGAATATATAGAGACTATAAAATAAACAAGTATATATTCGTGTAAATTGAGGTTTCCATTGGACAATTGTTGCAGGTAATTGACACACACAAAAGGACGATTTAAACTTTTAACATTTAGAGACAGCGCGAGCAAAAGTGTTGAACTTTTTCGACAACTTTTAGGGTGAAAGAAATCAAATTTTTGACTCTACAAAAAGCTGTGTTTAAAGTCATATTGGACAAAATCAACAGAAAACATGTTTATTCAACAAAGAGTTTCCTGAAGAAAAAAAACTGAGAAGAAAAACAGAATTGCGCCAAAATGCCATTTTTCCCTCGCACTGATGAGAAGAATTTTTTTTTTCATTTAAACTCAAGCACAGTTTTTTTCCACCCCCAACAGAAATGTTGATCGAGAAGTGAGACGAAACCATAAGACATTTGTAAATAGTTTGATAGGTTTTATGGCGAAGTGAAATAGAGAATCATTCCAATTTGAAAGTTGATAAAAATGGTGAAAATTTGTGAGAGATTTTTAGGAAGAAGAAAAAACAAGAAATAGTGTGAAGAAATCATTTATTTTTCCAGAGAAGATGAAATAAAAAGAAAGAAATTATCCTCAAATTATTGAATAAAACAGAGAATACATATTATAGTGAAGGAAGGAAAAATCACTTGACTAAAATCTACTACATGCAATTGTAATCCTGCTGCTTCTAATAAAATGACATGAAAAAAAATTTGCTAAAGTTTAAAGGAAGAAGAAGAAAAAAGTACTCATTGTAATGAAAAAAAAAATATATTCGTAATTGTATTTGAGTGAGAAGAGGTGAGAGAAAATCTGAATATTTAAATGCAATGGTGCTTTTTCGAGGCATTGTTTGACAGAAAAAAAACACAGTTAATAATAAAACGTAAAAAATAAAAAATTGAGAATGATTGAGAGCTTTGTGGAACTTTTCACAGCTGAATAAGAAAAAAAACACCCCCAAAATCAGTTTCTAACCACAAGAAACTTTCCATTCTGTGCAACAAATTGTTGTTGGGCAAAACTTTCCCCTTGGACAAATGCAAACATTCTACTGAAGAGTGTAATTAATTTCTCACCAAACTGCTAAATGAGTTTAGATAACTCGTTGAGAAAATTGCTTTTCCGCAAGAGAAACCCATTTTGTTGTCCCCTCCTCAAACCCCTGCAATAGATAAAAGACATTGATAACTATCAGAGAAATCTACAATTTGTGTATAACATAAAGTTATAAAAAAACAATGCTTTTGTACTATACAATGAAATAATTTCTTGTAAAGATAAGTGAGAAGAGGAGTTTTTGGCAAAGGTGAAGAAGTGAGATTCGACACTGTTTTGTTTCGGTGTGATGAAAACTTATTAAAAAACATTGATTTGGCGTCTCATTTAATCGCCTCCTAATCAATGGAATTGATAAGTTAATCAACCGCAAATATAGCGTCGATTTTTTACTTGACAACTTCTTCACATGGCCGCGATTTTTCCTCTTTTACAACAATAAGAGAAAATGAAGAAATGATTTTGGCATGGAGAAAAAAGAATGAAATAAATGATGTAAAACATACGCAATTTAGCTTAGCAAGACGAAGAGATATCTATAAATAAAACTAAAAATTAATAATTAATTAAATATTGATGAAAAGTGAGATTACATTAAAGAAAGAAAGAGAGAAAGAAAGAGAGAGAGAGAGAGTGGATAAATTGTCAAAAGAACAGACTAATGTTCATATATAGTAAATTTTTGATGAAGAATTACCAAGTTCCAAAAATGATTAAAAAAAAAAACAATTTCAACTGAGAAGACTTTGCTGAGAAAGAACTTTCTTTTTACTGTGCAAATTCTCAAAGAAAGAACAAAATAGAGTGTAGAAACTTTCACTTGCTCTTTTATTTGCCTTCACTGGACTTCGCAAGGATATTTCGGCGTTCTGCCAATCTCGTAAAACCCAATGAAAAGCAGACTAAATCCTTATACATTCATTGGAATGTCACACGACCGTTAGTTTGATATTTCAAACTTGTGACAAATTTAGTACATGGTCTATCCCCTCCAATTTCTCTTAGTACACAACGGTTCTGACGAAGTTTACGGTCGTTTGTTGTTTACAAAGTGTTTCATCTGCAGCAAATCGCCGATTTTATTTGGTTAAGGTAAGTGTTGTGCTTGAAGTATTCTTGAAATTCTTCTCTGAGAACTCCAGCACAGTTCAGTGGTGAAGATTTCGTGAAAATACTCCTTTTTTTTAGCATAAATATCTCATCTGCCAGTGACGCTTGATTGTGAGGTTAGGGAGAGACAAAGCGAAGCGCCGAAGATGCCCCGGAAGAGGAAAATACGGGTTGCTCAGAATGAGAATGAGCCACCAGCTAAGCCTGCAAACTCATCCAACTCGAGAGCGCCAAAGAACAAGGAGATCGTTGAAGTGATCTGTCGCAGCCAGGATTCCGTAACACAGCATGATATTTACGTCAAGGACTTGAAGGGTGTTTATGCGAAGGTGAATTGGAGCTTCCTGGGAGAATGCTTCAGACACTAATGTATCTGCTAATGTCTTTGCAGTCCAACCACAAGACATTTCTGAGTGATTTCCTGATCTGCTTCCGTGCAATGGCGGTGAAGGATGTCTCAAATGAATACACCACGAATGCCTTGAAGTTCTGTGCCAAGTTTGTTGCTGCCCACAACAAGAGAGAAACCGGAGAGACTCATCCTCTGGTCACAGATGTCTTCAATTATGTGCTTGAGGCAAGTTGAGGTATCTTCACTGGGCAAAAGACACTCTGCTAAAGCAATTTTGTCTCTTTCACACTTGCAGATGACGAGCAATAACGTAAATATTCGTTTGCGACTCTGTGAGTTTGTCAATATGATTCTGAATTCGCTGGAAGAGAATGCACTGCTGGACGACAATATTTGCGACAAAATCCTCAAGTACATGTGCATTCGCTTGAGCGATATGAACCCAAATATTCGTATCCAAGCCGTACTGGCTCTGCAGCGTCTCCAGATTCCCGAAGAGCCCAACGACACGGTGGTGAAGCAGTACTTCTTCCACCTGAGCACTGATCCCAGTGCGCAAGTGCGCCAGACGATCATCACGTGCATTGTTCGCAACATGATCACCATTCCGCACATCATCGAGCGACTGTGGGATCTGGATGAGAAAGTGCGGCGTCACGTGATCATCCAGATGAGCACGCACTCCGTGCGCATGTACATGGTGGCTGAGCGTCTAAAGTTCCTGGAGCAGGGCCTCAATGACAACAGTGAGCTGGTACGCAAAGCCACTGTCAATGTGATGCTGCCGCGGTGGGTGGACACTTACAATCACGACTATATCGCTCTCCTGGGCGCTCTCAAGATGGACACAAATGACAAGGAAATGCAGAGATTCAAGAAGTGTGCTCTTCAAGTGCTGCAATACATCTTCAAGTGAGTTCTCAGGGTTTTTTTCCGTGTTGCAAGAAGATTTCTAGTGTCTGTTAACTGTGTGATTTGCAGGAAAGCCGATGCTGGGAAGATCGTGACGGAGCTGGGCTTCGATGCGCCTGATCCCACGCGAAGAGACACCGATGATGAGGATGAGGAGGAAGACGTAACGACAACAGACAATCAAGAGTTCCCTCGCTGTGTGCCCATCAAGAAGCTGAGCGTGGAAGTTGCCGTGTACTGGGAAGCAGCCGTGGATTATCTGCAACAGAATGACTTTGATGAGCTGAATGTGATTCTGCCAGAACTCACGGTCTTCTGTCAATACGTGGAGAAGTACTGCGAATCTACATACTATGAGAGTGACAAGTGGCAGCAGATGAAGAATCAGTACATCCTGCTGAGTCTGCTGGAGATTGTGGCCAAGTACGATCTGGGCGATGAAGTGGGTCGGAATAATCTCAAAGAGTTGCTCTCGACGGTCATGTCAAAGTACAATCTGGATGAGCCGAACATTTGCGTGATGGCGAGAATCTTCGAGCAAGTGTATCCAATCACGGACGATCGTCTGAATACAGTGATGACGATTGTGAGTGATATTCTTCAACTTGGCGACAATTCGGCGACAATTAACAGTGAGATGGAGAGTGCACTGTTCCAGAAGGCGGGCATTGATCTGCAGCTGCGATTGTCGTCGCTGAAAGTGAAGATGATGGAGTTGAAGGAGCAGGAGAATGTGTGTGGTCAGAAGAAGGACTACGTCAATGCCCAGAAGGCCACTGAAGAGTGGGAGCAATGCAATGAGGAGTACATCAAGTTGCTACAGCCACTCTTGGCGGATCAGGGGAATTCCGATGAAACCTCACTGAGTGCGAGTCTGCTGAAGGCCACGCACAAGATCGGCACTGAGACAACTCTCAGATGCCTCCAGATCACGTATCATATCATCTGCTCGGCGCACACGCAAACCATCACGCCATCCGTTGTGGATCTCTACAACAAGTTCATATGTCGCCACATGAACTCAGAACAGGTGAATGTGCGCGATTGGGCGTTCAAGTGTGCCACAACGTGCAGCATGTTGTACTCAATGCTGGCCAAGGAGGTGTCACGCACGCTCTCGGAGCAGTTCGTGAAGAATCAGAACATTCGCATCTGGACAACGGCCATTCAGTGTCTCTTCGAGTTGGTGGATCGATATGGGTTGGACTTCTTCATGGACGCCCCCTCGGAAGATGACACAGTGCTGGAGAAGACTGTGGGCAGGAGCAAGACGCGTCAGCTGTTCTCTACGTCGACGCTGCTGCAGAGCGATCAGGAGGCGCCGCTCAGTCTGGTGGAGGTGATTGGCCATCTGTCGGTGCTGCTGGAGAATTGTGAGCACCGATCCATCCTGCAGGCGCTGGTGGTAGGATTCTGTCGCTTCGTCCTTCACGGACACTACACGGAGTCCAATATTGTGTCCAAGTTGATGCTCTTCTACTTCAATCCCGCCACAGATGCGGAAATCACACAAATCCTGGGAATTTTCTTTGAAAATCTGACATCGGAGCGGAAGCAGGAATACTTGCAGCCGGCACTACTGCCCACACTCTTCTTCATCTTTGAGGCTCCGCACGATAGTCCTCTGCAAGAAATCAAGCCGGAGAAGGTGATGAAGTTCGTGATTGACGTGACAAGGCCACAGTTCTGCAGTCACGGTCTGAACATTCACAACACCATTGGGATGTCATTTATGAGTGCCATTCAGGATAATGTGACGCAGAAGGAGGTGCTGAAGGTGCTGTCCAAGGGACTTCTACTCCTTGAGATCTCAGATGATCGCAATTTCCGCACAGACTTGAAAAATTCCTGCGAACAATTGCTGAAAGTCACTGGATTGGATGAGAAAGTTGCACGAAATATTTCTGCATTCAAAGATCTGCTGGACGGAATCAAGCGTCCTTCTCTTACATTCTCCTCCACGAGGATAACAACGTCCACCTTTGCCGGGGAGCGGGATTCGGAGGAAGAGGACAAAATCGAAGAGACTGAGAAAGAAGCTCAACTGGAGTCAATTGTCGAAGTGACGGAGGAGAATTCCAGAACAACAGAGGCGAAGGATCTGAATGAGACAGAGAATGATTCGGTGTTCCTGCACGAAAGCCTGAAATCTGCTGAATCGAGTGAAGCGGAAGTTATTGAGCCATCTGAGGATGAAACTACCAAAATCTTCACAAGAAGGCAAATGACTCGCAGTCGTGTCTCTGCGGAAAGATCTACTGTTTCCAGTCCGAAAACTCCAGTGACCCGAAGCGGAAGGACTTTGCAGGCCTCGAAGAAGCGCACCATAGAAACACGAACGCCCAATGCAAGAACTAAGATCACCAGAAGCGCCGCGGCCGCTGCGACGACTCCTGCTGAGGCCAAGAAGAAGGACAAGGAGCCGAAGCAGAGCAAGCAACTGTCCCAGAAGGAGAAGAAGAAAGTCGAAGGGACTCTGTCGCAATCCTCCTCAGCCAGCAGCGTCACTTCCGTGGGTCCGAGTGTTGCCAAACGCATGAAAGATCCCGTCGTCGCGGTGTCACCATTGAGCGCTTCCTTCATTCAGCGCCAGATGCAGAGTCCCAGAACCAGGAGTGCCACAACTGATGATTACATCCAGAGCAACATTATGACCCGCACGAGGCGTCAGAATTTGTCACCGAGCAGAATTCCGCGCAGCAAATCTGCGACTAAACCGAAATCGAAGAAGTAATCTGCTCGATCACTAACTCTACTAAATTTACGTACCTTTGCTTCTTCATGTGTTCTCTTCAGAGGGGGAAAAAATGCAGCGTCGCCAGACTTTATCTCACACTTGTGATGTCTGGAAGATATGCGAGCGATAATTTTGTCAATGGCAATGAGTCTTCGCATTGAATAAAAAAGAATTCCTTCTATTTTCATACACATTTAATTGTTTTTTTTTTTATTCATTATTTACAAATTGGGTTTCTCATTTTCTTTTCTCACCTCCGCACTTGCAATTTACCTACCAAACAAATAACAAAAAAATTTATATTTTCTTTGTATGCAATAAGGTAAAAAAAGAAGCACAAGTTAGATATATTTTTTTAATTAAATTGCAAATTTACTGTTTCTTTTTCTCTAAGTGTAAAAATCCAATGATTACGTGAAATTAGAGTTACGTAGTCGTTTTATTATCTTTTTTTTCCACCATCTCTTTGTAATGCTGTGTATCTCTTTTCTTTTCTTTTCTTTAAAGTTAATTTGTTCACAACAAATTTCTTTTCCTTTTTTCTACACTGGAAATTTCATGTGTTTGTGTGTCGCTTCTATGCTCTTTCACGATTGACTCGGGTTAAAGTTCATCCCTTTTTTTGCTAGATTATTAATTTAATTGATAGTTAAATAATGTTTATCATCATCATTGTTTTATTCTCCTTTTGATAGTTTATCTCAATTGGGAGGCTATTTTCTCTTGGCTCTTCGCTATCCTGAAGAAGAGAGTCTGGGGCGTATTTTTTGTCTAAATATCCCTTCCTGTGTCATCAATTCCACCGTCCTCGTCAGTGCTGTTTGGGTGTTAGAACTGGTAGCCTCCAGTTGGCACAGATTGGTCTGGATTGAATTGATATTGATTGTTCTCCGTCGACGGTGCCACGCGGGCGTCCTCCTCTTCGCTGCCAAAGTAGTGTTCGATGATGTCAAAGGCCTTTTGGTAGATTTCAATGTTCTGGTGCGACTGAAGAAACTCAATCTTGTCCAAGCCTGACAAATCACAATAAAAGACAAGCGCGCGAATCAATGAGATTGAGAAGCAAATTTGCAGACCACTTTTTTACTCACCATAGCACTCCTCAATGGCAACAGCGTACGGATTGGGCTTAGTATTGCGTTGATCGCCCGCTTTGAGAATATTCTCCAGTCCATTGAGGGCCACCTGAACAATCTTCGGATCTGCCACGGTCAGTAGGTCACAGAGTGGTGGAATACATCCAATCACGACCTGAAAGAGAAGCACACACAATTACCAATCAAACAATTCTCAAAAATCACCAAAAATCATTCAACTCAACATACAAAGTATTTGATTTGCTCCGGTGTTCCTCCTGTCGTTGCATTCGTGATGGCCCAGGCGACCTCCTTTTTCGTCTTAAACTCCGCCTTTTGCAGTATATCGATGAGAATTGGGAAGATCTTCATGTCGATCACCGCCTGAATTTGCTGTCTGTTGCCCGCCGTGATGTTAGACACTGTCCAACATGCCTCCTTGCGTATAGAATCCTTGCTCGACATGAGCAAGCTCACGAGGCACGGCAGAACACCACAGTTGAGGATCAGTTGCGTCTGCACATCATCACCCGTCACAATATTGCCCACAGTTCTCAGTGCTGCCGACACGACGCCCTGCTCATTGTGCCTGAAATGGGAAAAGTATTGGACTGTATTGGATCTCTGCCAAAAGCGCTTCATCCTTAGCCTCCTCTTGAGGAGTTAACTCACATGAGGAGCTCCACGAGTCGCCTGCAGACATTCGAATCGATGACAGCCTGGATGCGATCGTTGGGTCCATCGCTCAAGTAGCTGATGGCCCAACAGGCATCGCTGAGGACATCCGGGTCCACATGGTAAATGATGCGCGCCAGTGCCGGAAGAGCTTTGGAGACTTTGGCAAAGTCCGGCGGTGGATTCTTGCCTCGACAGAGATTCGACAGTGTCCACACGGCATTCTTGATCATCGTGAGGCGATTGGACGTGCTGAGCACGTGCAGAAGCGGCGTGAGCACGTCCGATTCCAGAACATGGTCACGGCATTCTGAGGAGTCGCCCGCGATGTTTCCCAGCGCCCACACAGCCTGCTCCTGCACATCCTCGAACGGGCTCGAGAGGAGGCGGATGAATATGGGTACGGCGCCCGCCTCGATCACGATCCGCGTCTGCTGGGACGTGCCGGAGGCGATGTTGGTGAGCGCCCACGCCGCCTCAAACTGCAGCGTGCTGTTCTTCTCATTCTTGAGAAACTCCACGAAGCGCGGCACGATGCCCGTCTGGATGACATCGTCAATGGGTGGATTGGGCTCACGCGAGAGAAGCTTCCGGAACTTTTGCGTGGCCGCCAATTGCTCCTGCTCACTGTCACTGTACAGCGCCATCACCATTTCCTTCTTCACCAGTGTGTTACCCTCGAAGCTGCTCACGGGCATCTCGGCGCTGGGCAGCGACGCGTCGTCGATTACATGGGGCATTTGCACGTTCCGCCTCTTGATCAGCTGCTGCTCCCGCTTCTGCTTGCGAATCTGGATGCCCTCTTCCTCTCGCCGACGGCGCAGTTCCGACGAGTCCATGCCAACATTCTTGTACCGATGTTTATGTGTGCTGGACATCTCTGCTGGGACGCACGCATGGCCAAAAGAATTGCATTAGAGCCATTAATGTATGATCAATTGAGAAACAGAGCCCACCCAGAAAAAAGTACCCAAAAAATGGGAAGGTGTGTGTGTCAAAATTCACACGTTTTTCTTCCACCCCACAAACCATGGTGCGATAGTCTTCCGGGGCAACTACTCGCCGGGACTCACCTATGTATAATTTGTTCTTGGATTTTCAGTAAAATTGCACGAAAATTAGTCAAAATATACTCTCAATTGCCGTGAAAAAACCTCATTAAAATCACCTCTTTTCCACGAAAGCTCTGTCAAGCGAACTTCCCACTTTTTACGCTACGCGATGCTGCCAGCGGATTAATTCCGCGTGATCGACACTCCGCGGCGTCACAGTCGCAATCATCCCTCCGCTCGACCCGAGAGCTTTCAGTTGTGCAATTTACTCATTTTTCCACACTTCTCCGCATTTTTCCAACATTATTTTATGTAAATAATGGCAATAAAGTATGTCTGCGGTGATTTCTTGGAGTTTCAAGTAAGAATCATCTGCAGATAGTGAGATACAGGGTGGAAATCCTATCGGCTGTTGCATAACCTTACATTTCCCTATCAGACATGCCATATAAAATCATCTGAATTCCGTGATTCTCTCTTTGGCAGGAGTCTCTTAAGAAAATGCGTGAGGTGGACGACAAAATCATCTATGCGCTGAACACCAGCATACCCACGGAGTCATTTAAGGGTCAGGTGGATGCCAAAGGAACGTGCGAAGGGCTCTTCCGGCAGCTTCAAGTGGCGCACAATGAACGCGAACAGGCCATCCGGAACTGTATTGTCATTGCTGCGGACAGGGTGAAGGTTCTGCGGGAAGAGCGCGATGGAAACAGGGATGATGTGGGGATAGATAAGTCATTTAAAGCGGAGCAGCGGAAGGTGAGTTTGTCATCTTATCAGTCTCTCTCTGGAATGATCTCCAATTGCCGCCTCTCTTGGTAGTTGCGGCTTCTGCAGTCTGAACTGAATGTTGAGGATATTGTTAAGGAGAGAACTCATAAGGCATTTTCTGAGCGATGTCGACTGTTCTTCAAGCCGGACTCCTTGTGATGTTGAGGGAGAAGCTGAAATCTCTTCCCAAATTGGGAAGAGTGGTAGGAACTCCATTGACTTTCATAGATTTCTTAGATTTTTTCTATTGCCAATACAACAACTTGATGATGGTTTAAAGAGCAGACTTAATTTTGGGCTTTCTAGGTTCCTTCGCAGTGCGGAATGGTTCGTGTCTGTGATTTGGAATGAAATCCCCTGAAAGTATGCAAAACTATTGACTTGAAAATGGCAGTTGTAGAATTTGAACTGTCTCGACATAAAACGCGACTTTACTCTATGGAAAAAGAGTCAAGCACTGAAAATTCACAAACTTTCACACCCTTTTGTGAAGAGTAATGTCGAAAGAAAATGATAATTTCCATGCAATAATTGAATTAACTTCCTACTTTACCTCCTAATCTCTTACTGACTTTAAAAAAGACTTTTACTCACCTTTTTGCTCCATGTACCGTAATAAAAGATAGTGAACGTATTTTTCTCTTCATCATAAATTTCTTCGGCAAAAACTCTTTATTGTAAACTCTTCTCAAAAATGGAATTACAACTCCTGCGAACATAATAATAACATTCACCACAACACAGAGATTATTTTGGCCACACATTCTTAATGATGCCGATAATTTCCGCGGTGATTGATGGGTGGAAAACTCGATGAATTCGGTAAGATGGGTTCGATGGCACGAGGTGAAAAGGCACCAATATTAACTTCGGTAAACTAGCTTTATGACGTTAATTTCACTCATACAGCTAGATAACCAAAGACAACTATAGCGCCCGAGTTATCGATGGCAAGTGAGGAATCCAAATTGTCTGGTGGTGATTCGGAGGCCTGAAAAATGCAAAAATTGTTTAACTAACTGGACTGTGGGGCAGAAAAATGGGCACTTCAGTTGAATTAATTTGTTGCTGTAATGGGAATAGACAAAAAAAATAAAGAGATAGATTGGCTAAATATGTGAGGGAGAGACATAAAGGGCAATCAGAAGCGAGAGAAGAACAACGAATCGTGTTTAACGGACGATCAAACAGGAAAATCGTGACTTGTGCTTCACGGAGAAAATGTGGCATGTGGAAAGAGGGAATTAAAAGACACCATGAGTATAATCAAAAGAATTCACTTTGGTGACACTTTTTATCACCATTGTACAGAGAGGCGCAACTACTTCTTCTTTTGCCACCAAGCAGCCGATGCCGGTGGAATGCGGGAGAAAAAAGTGTGCACGGGGAATTTTCTCCGTCATGTCGTGGCTTCTGTTTTCCTCCCAAGTCGCTGATCACATTCATAAGTGGTGGCTATTGTGTGTGAGTGTGTCCCGCGCAGATTTATCTATTTGGCACCTCGCTGCTATTTTCTACCTTTTCGAAGAAGGTGAATAAATGTATAATTCCATTATCACTTTGACGCATATTTATTGGTGTTAATTATTTCAGAATACACTTGTCGCTCCCTCGACAATCCTGGAATCTGCGTGTGAGGCCCCCACAATGAATGAGGTGCAGTGACAAAAAAAGAGAGAGAAGACACGAGGGGAGAAGTCACCGTGATTAGCTTCAATTAAGTCAAATTGGTAAGAAATATTTTCCCTTAAAGAAACTGTCTAATTTTCTCTCTGTCTCGCTATACACTCACCTTCCCGAAAAAAAGAGAGAGAGAAAGAAGAGAGAAAGAGCAGAGATTCATTGTATTCACAAGTCATAAATTAGGAGTGTTCTTGACATTGATTGTTTCTCCTCTCCTTGGAGTCTTTCTTTCACAATGCCACCACAGCCAAAGTGCAACACTTTTTCCCATGAATTGCCGAGGCGGATAAAAATGCGTGGTGCGCAATGAAATTCAATAAAATTGCACTGTTTGACAGGAAAATGATCACACAATGCCAGGAAAATAATATTTTTTCAAGAGGCGCTCAACAAGGTGGTATTTTGATTGCCCACGAGACAGAAAGTGTGAGAGCGCGGAAGAGGGTGTTTGGGCAGGTTGAATAAAGGGGTGCGGCTTCTTAAATAGTATCAAATTCACTTTGGCTGTCTCTCTAGAGGAATTATAATTCTTTTTTTCTTTTTTTGGAAGAAAAATCCAATGAAATGCCGATGAAATCCCCAAAACCTGTTTCTCTCTCACAGATATTTTTCAGCTTATACGCTGACTCTTGTCGATGGAGCGCTCCCATGAGTGGGAAAAAGGAGTGCGAGAAAAGAAAGATTTTTCGGGTATGAGACCGGTTTCCAATGATATAATTAATTGATGGCAATTGTATGGCGGAAAACTGGCTCTTGACGTCTCATATCTCTATAATTTTTTTATTTAATTTTAACTAGAGTTACTCAATATTGATGGCAAAGAGAAGGCATTTCGGTTGCTGGCTGTGTAGTGTAGGAATGATAATCGAGAACGAATATAATGTCTGAACATGAGGGCGATCAACGATTCAGGTGTGCTTTTTTTACTAGTTCAAAAACTCTTCATTTCTTCATGGAAATTTCACGGGTTTATCGACTTGGACTTTACAGTGGGAAAATGATGGTTGAATTTAGCAGAAATTAGTCACTGAGTGGGAGAACAAATCTTCTTAATTTTTGCAGAGGTGAGAATAAAAAAGAGAAGAATATGCGAAGTCAGTGAACTGTAAGAACGCTTCTTGTTGGCGTGAATATACTTTCGAATTCTGTCCGTTTCGCGATGATCAAAAATCAACCGGGAAACGATTTATTGTATAAAATGCCTTTTATAAGCCAATCTGTGCTCTGTATTTACAGATCAACCTCAATTCTGTGACTGTCTATTAGAGATAAGAAGAAGTAGAAATAAATTCTCTCCAATCCCCGAGTAAAGAATGGCCACTAAAGCTGGGAGTTTGTGTGCGTGATTGAGGTGAAAATGCGTTGCAGGAAATGCCGAAAGTGAATTTAGTGCGCGACAGAGAGTGGAGGGTGTCACAAAATAGAGGTGATTGTAATTGATGGGAAAAGCGTAACTTCATGTTTTTATCACTCTCTAAACTTTTTTTCCACCAAGCGCGTTCCTATCAGTATACAACAAAATTGTATGTTGGTTCTACCTTTTATGAGTGACGCTTAGAGTGAATGCGCGAGATAGACAGGGAAGCAGAGAGAGAGAGAAAGAGTGAGAGAGTGTTTGTAGGAAAGTGTGACTGAATTTCCCGTCGGGAGGAATAGCAACTGATAAGATTATTGTATCAGTCACGTCTCAAATCAGTTAACTCAATTATATTCTATCTCTCTGTGTGCGGCTGCTCTGTATTTGCGCTATTTTTTACCATTTGCGTGGCGCGAAGAGACTTTTTGGTGATGGGGGAATACTGAGAAAACGTGCGAAATGAGCAGTCAAGAAGAACAAATTTCCAAGCAAAGAGTCCACCACATTCAATGTACAACGTGGCCGTTTTTCGTGGTTCCCTGACTCGCTGGAGGACAGAGATTTTCCTCTGTCTTGACGGCTTTCTTCACCCTTCAATTAACAAAATGCCATTCACGATGATTATGTAGAGTGGTTCTTGCTTTTGGGTGCTTTTCTTGGCAATGCGGAGATGAATTCAATCGCGTCCAGCGAGTGAGAAAACCATTTATTTAGCACATAATAAAAATAAAATTTGAGAAGATTGTTACATGTTAGGAGAGAGAAAAAAAGTGGTCAAGAAGATTGTATAAATAGTTTTTCTGGGTGTATTTCAAGTACCTTCCTCGAGTGAAAAACTATTATATGGATATTTTTTGTAATATTAGAGTGTATATATACAATTTTGAACTCACCGGACCATGGTCACGAAAATATAGTGGTACGCTGGGCACTGTTTGGATGCCTTCTCGGCCGTCTCATCCGCAATGGAAACTCCGGGCCGCGCGTTTCACATACACACACTTTACAATGGCCCGTGACTCTTGGAACTCTCTGGGTGTTGTTTCTAGTCGAAAGATTTTTCACAGACCAAATGGAACGGGTGGTGGAGATAAAAAGAAGACTTGTACATTTAAATAATTAGTAAAAATAGACTTGATGGAGTATTTTATGTGAATGCAGAATATTTTCAGCCTGCTGAAATATTCTCATATTCCCTCCTCGGCTCCACCAGTCCATGAGGGTGACTCTCTTGGGAGTGTGTGAAGTGAGCCGGCGATGGAGTGAACTTTGGCTGGAATTCTCCTCAATTTGCCACGGTGAAATTCAATTATGAAGCGTGGGATTCTCAAATATCTCCACGTGAACACAGAGAGAGGAGTTTTGGTGTCTTTGCACCGTGGCGGGAATTTGGGCTTGAGAATATACATATATATATATATATATATTCCGAAAAAATGTGCCAAAACAGGGCAGAAGAAAAGAGAGAGAGAAGAAATATAATTAAGTGAATTTCATCAATAATTCCTATTCACGCTATTCCCATGATGGTGTGTCGTCGCTCATACTATGGCATAATTTAGCAGAAATTCTCTTGCGGAAATATTACATCTCCATGGCATATTGACTCAAAAAGAAGCAGCACTGCGAGGGGATTGGTAAAATGACAATTACTCAATGTATATGATTAAATATTTACTCAAGATCGAGCTTCGCTACAGCCAAAGTACTGGATAATTTTTTTTTCTATCGTATTTGCGTGTTTCATTTTTTCCTCAGGAATTGTCTTACTCAGAGACTATTTTCACATCACACTTGGCGATGATGTTTTCCGAGAGAGAGAGCGAGAATCCTAGATTAATCACGGGTTGAGGAGGAGGGAGAAATGATTTCCCGCCAAAAATTTCACTGTGAAGCTTGAATTTTGGAGTCGAATGAGCGCGTGAAGAATCAATATGCCAGAAATGATCACATTGATGACTGTCAAATGACGGAATTTTCCCACTATTTTTCCACTAACTCTCTCTTTCTGTCTGTCTGTCTATTTTTGCAGAAAAGTTGCAATGGGAAAAAACCCGGAAAGAAGTGGGGCTTTTCTTCCGGTAAAATTGTGGGGACCCCAGAGAGAGAATACTGTGTGGGATTTGAAAACTTTGGTCACACACTGGTTGGCTCATGAAAAAGCAACGACGGGTGGCGAGGAGGTAGCAAACGAGCACTTTTGGGCGAAACGTATTTTCCCTGACGCCAAAC